ACACAATGAACACTTCACCTGCACGTTTTATAGGGCCATATTTAAAAAAATGTTTACTCGCGACCGACTGACTAAATTTGGACAGACTCAAAACTTTTTTTTTACATTCCACATCAAAAATAAATTATAAATATAAAGTCAATACTACAAATTGCTAAAGAAACTCTGTTTTCCAATAAGATATGAACTTTTAAAATGATTTGTTTATTTAATTTTTTTTTTTATAAGGCTATTTTATAAATCAATATTGTTGCTGAGACTGTGTTTGTAAAACTTTTCTGAACTCTTTGATAGCCCTACTTGATAGCTATTTCGTAACTTTTGTTGATGAGATGCGGTATATGGCGCACTGGGTATCAGGTTTTCATATTGCATTTACATGGACAATGACATGCAGATCATGAGTTCAGGGAAAAAAAACAAATGACAAAAACATTTTAAAAAAACATTATTTTGTCAATTTATTCGAAACCCTGTGTACAGTCAGAAAAGGACAGATTCTCAAGAATAAGGGTCGACATTAACACATTGTCACAGCAAATTTACCACCATTGTGAAACAGAGTCAGTAGTAGGTAAAGCACCCTCGGTAGGTCAGACAAGGTGGCTATGATTCGGCGTGGCATACTCCTAATGAGACGTCCCATGTCGTTTTGAGAAAGGTTATCTCATTCCTGTTGCAATGTTCAGCAAGTTCTCTGACGTTGGCATGAGGTTGATGATGCTGGAGAAGTTGCTGTCCAAGCATGTCCAAGGCATGTTCTTAAACTTATGAGGGAAAGGTCCGGACTGAGTGTAAGCCATGGTAAGGTGGTGATATTCTGCTGATGGAGATAACCTGTAACAATCCTGGCCCCATGACATACGTTGAAATTTTCTGGAAAAAATTTCAGACCTACCAATCCAAGAATTTTACCCAGAGTCGGGAAAGGCAAGTAAACAACATTTCTACGATAGTCTAGGAAATAATTCGTTTTAAAAACACCTTTCTTTGATTTATTATACCCCGATATAAAAATTTCCTAGTGGAGAAAAAGATTGCTTGTTCTGGTGTGGTAGGAAAATTATTTTCTAATATTCCTATCTCACTTTTAAAATCATTTTTAATGAAATATTTCCAAAATGCCATTTTATTTTGCCTCATAATTCGTAAGTTTTTGAAATTTATATGACGATACCCCCCAAAAAAATTAAAATTGAAAATTCTCATTATCACCAGTGCTTCAATCTGTCACAGTCTTGTTTCTTCTTTACATGAAGTTCATCAGGATGTTTATCCTACAAATCTCCGGTATTTCGAACGTCCACTCAATCCCACAGATGACCAATGAGAAAAAGATGGACTTTATGGGGACCAGTCGAGTGGGTAAAAGTGATTGTTGGCTAGAAAGTCTTGATAAACCCATGATACAATAGGCTGGAGGTAAACACGCCGAAAAATTAGGCAAACGGCGTTTGCATACGCCAGTGAGAGGAAGACCAACGTAAAGTTAACCAGCTCAAAGAACCAAATCGCGCAATTGGTTTCTTTCAGTTTTGTGGTAAATGTAATGATTATGATAACCTACTCTATTAATAGCAGTTTTGTGGTAGTAAGATGGCGATTTAACAGGTTGTAGCTATAGGACGAATAACTTAATCTTGACGTGGCTCTGGTACGCATCAACGTCATCGTCATGGTCGATTGAAAACCCTTCAAGGCCCTCTCTGGTGACGGTTAAGACGTTCTATGGGAGAGAATTTACTTGCGACTGCACAAGATGTTGTTGCCTTTGTCTTTACTTAGGCAACGTAAAAGCCAGACCCCATGAAACTTCCGTCAACTGTGAAAAGATTGCAAGAAATGCATTTCGTCTACAAATACTGAAAATCAATGTGTATACCTCAAGTGCATCAAATGGTATGAGAAGATTGTTGTCAAGCTTGTTATCATCATCATTTTTAGCATTTTTTCTGACGTGACGTCGTACATTTCACGGTTGAGTAATTCTGATCACTGATTTTACTGCATAGTAGCAAAGATTCTGACCAATTTTCATAATTTTTGGTCATGCGGTCAAAATAATTTGGCATATTATGTTACCCTGTGTTTCTTTTTCCTTTCAGTATATAAACATAATGTATTCTATACATGTTTTAACATTTTTCATACACATGGATTCCTAACTACTGAAGTTTTTAAATATATCCATTGCAATAAAGCAACAATGCGAATTTAAAAAAAGATTTAATTCTAGAGGCACGAGTTTCTGTTGTATACACTAAACACGTACATGTAAACTATGCTTTGCACAATTAGTACAGAAGCAAGTGACTGCACACGTTGTATATATCTTATATTTACTAAACGTATTTGTGAATTAAAATACGATGCACTCACCTTTCATCTCCTGAAAAACCTATCTTGCAGATAATTTCTTATATGCAAGTCAAACTCCAAAGGTCAAGGTCAAAATCTTTCCGAAGTCTCTTTTCCAAGTTTTATAAACTGCTCTCATTGATATACCTACCATAAGTAAGAACTACCTTCGATTTTTTCGCTATCCAGTACTTTCATCCAGGTTTCATTAAACATAAAAAAAACCCTGGACCATTCTTTTTCAACAAGGACAAAATTGTAGTAACTTTTTAAGAATGTTTGGTGTGGTCTAATATATATCTAATTCTTAATATAAATGGAGGGCTGAGTAGGACGAAAATTTTAAAAAAAATCTCGTATATCAAATAAAATATTACCATGACCTTGCGTCCCGGAAACATGGACCTTAATTCAAGGAAAGCACTAACATAAAGAAAAATTGACTCACTTCTTAGACTGAAGAGAACCTAAACCCAAACTATCTCCCCTAATTAACTTATAAGGTTTGGTCAAATAAGATTTTAAATTGGGTTTATTTAGGGGGGTTTTTATATCAAAAAGAAAGGACTTAAGTTTTGTGTGAATAAATTGGTGTTGACTTCCCCCACGAATGCGAACGTAAAACACAACAAGAGGCCCAAGGCCCACATTGCTCACTTGAGCACATGGGCGAGTTATAAATTTTACTTGTTGGGAGAGAAGGGATTTGAATTTTCAATTACTTAAGAATGTCACTATATCAATAAAGCGTTCTCGTATAATTTTGCAATGCTTGAAAAGAAGATTTTTAAAGATTTTTCCAACATATTACTTGATCTAGATCTCCCACTGTGACACCTCGCTTATTCTGCCATACTTGAAAAGAAGATTTTTAAAGATTTTTCCAACATACTACTGGATCTCCCAATGTGACCCCTTGCTACCCCCCCCCCCCCTACTTTTTTTATACATTCTTATGCATACTTTGATCCCCCATTGTAGCCATACTCTAACCCCTGGGTCATGATTTTACACAACCTGAGGATGCTTCCACATGAGTTTCATCTTTCCTGGCCCGATAAATCTGGAAAAGAAGATTTTAAAAGAGTCTTCTTATATATATTTCTAAGTAAAGCTTCGATCAGCCATTTTGATGTGTTTCTCTCCGAAATTTAAAAGTGTTTACGAACTTTAATCTTTTAAAAGGATATCATAAATCACAGTCATATCAAGAGAGTACCGAGAAAGTAAAATCAACTTCGTATCCAAATCTTTTGCAGACCTTTAAAACCTGTGCAACCAATAATTAACTGTTTACATGATTTAATTGTCTTATTGTTTGACCAAGTGAAAGATAAATCCGCACGGTAGGTGGGTTTTACTGTACCAAAGTTTGAAAGCCGTGTCATACAATACCGGTATGAGATACACGCAGTGCGAAAGATTTGAGTTTTTAAACAAACGAAATATATTTATTTAATTACAAAGTAAATCAAATAAATTGAAGAGAAAAATATGTCAGTATACATGTATATGTGAGAAGTTCACACTTTCAAAAAAATTAGTTATTTTTATTGCCAAAAAGTTTTTTTTTGAAGGGAAACTAGAAGAAAACCATTCATACATGTTTTTGACTAATTCTCCAGTGGGAAAGTTGAAGAAAACTGCAGGACCGGGATTCATAAAACTTCTTACATTGTACTATATTCTTAAGTGTAAATTATCACTTAAGTAATGTATTTTTACTTAACTACCTTTAGTTTTATTTAAAAGTAGATAAGAATTACTTAAGTTTTCTTTATCAATATTAAAATATTAATAAACATAAGAAATTTTTATCTTTTAATTAGAGACCATGCTATAACATCTAACTAGGAACTCGTTTTAATTTTGAGATATTCATCAATTGATAAGATACAAATGTGCAATGTTTTAGATGTACATTTCAGATGCGATGTAATACACATGGAACTAAATAATTTTTTTCTAACGCGTTTCTTTGGTGACTTAACTTAAGTGCTTTTATTTTCTCAGAATCAAACTTTGCTAAGAATTACACTTAGAATTTATATGAACTTGACTTAGGATTTTTTTTCTTAACTAAGAATTTATTTATACTTAAGTGTGTATCTTAGCATAACTCCTAAGTATCTTTATGATTCCCAGCCTAAGTTTACTTTTTGTTGGTAATTTATCTGAAAAACCATGTAAGGGTTTTCATTCAAAAAAGAAAATGTGAAACTACTATTGAATATATAAGTTAAATAGGTTTTCACTAGAATTACACTTTTGGAAAAACAAATGAAATTTAAATGTATTTTTACGTCATTGCAAAATTCAAACTCAACATGTACATATTTATTTGCTTTCTTCCTGTCACCAATTTTACGAGATAAAGTAACTTGTAAACAGAGAAATATTAGATACCCATACTTTGCTTAAATTTATACCTTGAAAACGAAAAGGCTATAGATTTGACATGTGGCGCACTAGGTATCGGGTTTCAATATTTTTACATGAAAATTTATAATTTACATGTTCAACCCACTCACAGTTATACATATAAATAAATGTATAAAAAAGTGTTAATATCATAATTGATTTGATTCTCCACAATGTTTCAGATAACACTTTCCCTAAGCATTTGTCTGTCTTTGGTAGCGATGACATGGTGCAGTTGTCCTTGCAAGAAAAACATCGAATATTACAACATCTGTATGAAGTCAGCCCAAAACAGCAACAACGCATGTGGACTCCATCTAACCGAATATGATACGTGTATGAGAGAAAGATTAACGCATTTGGAATCTAAAGTTGAATACATCGAGAGCTCTCTAAACAGAACAAGTAAGTTTGTATTACTCTCCTTGATCTTCAATGAGTCGTATTGTAGTGGATTTCACTATTTCAAAAAAGGGACTTGTGGGTTGCATTGCTTACCTGAGCACTTTGGCTAGACAAAAAAGCAGACCAGCTCAGTATTGAAAGGCCTAAATATGTAAATGGTATATATCTAACAAAGTACGGATGAGCAGGCTTGGAGCAACACTGACTGAGGATGCTTTGGTATTTCTTTGACTACTTGTAATTATGGCTTTAAAAGATACTAAAAAATCAATAAGTATGTAAGGGTGTTTAGAAAGTTTGTTCCGTGATGAAATATTTTCAAAAATTTCAAAGTAGTGTTTACCTAAAGAGGTGAATTTCCCAGTATGAAAAAATCACAAGATTGTGCTTTAGAGTTGTAGGAATTCATTTAAAGCAGAGAGTTAAAAGGTTTTTCTTCCATATGAAAATATTTATAACATATTCAAAACACCCCAAATGACAGAATTGATAGTCATTTTGCGTGAAAATATAAGATTATTTACTTTTGTTTCTTCACAGCTTAATTTGCATCATGCAAATCTGATGAGCTTAGGCATATGAAAGATTAATCAATTTTCAAAAGAATAGGTTTGTCACATTGAAATTTTTCACAGACGTATTTGAAGTGATTTATTGACCTGTGTGCTTAATATATGTCACAAATATACTGGTATCCCTAGCTTTCTGTGCAAACATTTGTTTCAATACTTGCCCTCCTCTTATTGTTTCAACAAAAGACAATTAAAATCTATCAATAGCAATAATTTACTCTGTGAACATAAAAATTATAAATCTTGAATATCTTCTGATAATATTTCTTTTCGAAAATGAAAGAAAAAAGTTAAATGAACTTTATTAACACCCTTTATGTAAACTGGAGGACCTGGTGACCGCTCACTATCTATGGCGGATAAAATTTGAACAAACTTGAATCTACAGTATATGTGGATTCTCCTGCGTTAATTGATATGTCTTTTAGGCTTTCCTGTAAATGATGAGAAGAAAAGAATTTTCCCTTTCTGTTCCTTTTATTTTGATCCCTTGTCGTGGCCGAACAATACTCCGGGAATCTTATATGGAAAAAAAATTGAAGATGCACTATGTAATACTAATTTTCACATAAGTCTTTTTTTACCCAGTGGTTCTTGAAAAAAAGATATTCTTGAACAAATTGAAATCCCTTTTACAAAAGATTTTTGTTAGAAAAATTTTATTGAAATTGGCTTTGTGGGTCTAAAGAAAAATTTAGAAATTAAAATCTAAACGGGACAAATGACAAATTACAGACAAAATACAGGCAAATCTCGATCAGAAAAAAGATCAGACAAGCCTCGACTAAGAAGCTGAAACATTTTTTTAAAAAGAAGAACTAAAAAAACCTCAAAATTATTTTTCATTTATTGTCATTTCAGTTCATCATGTCTCTTTTCTGGCCGCCCCTACAAGACATATGAAACCCGTAAGAGGGACACTCATTTTTGACAACGTTCTCAACAATAAGGGAGGAGCATATAACGGCAAGACTGGTATCTTTACCGCCCCCGTAAGCGGATCATACTTCTTTATGGTCACCATTGGCCTTCCAGCTCCTTCCACCTCTAAAGGCTCGGACTACGTAAGGATACATATCATGAAGAACGGAAAAATGTCCTCGTACTTGTTTATCGGAACTGAAGGCTTGTGGATCAAAAGATCAGAAAACACGCTACTGGAGCTTTCGCAAGGGGACAAAATTAATTTGTTCATAAAAACCACTGGAAATGGGTTTCCTTACATTGCTGGAAAGGATCACTATCCTGGTTCAACTTATCACTCGCACTTCTCTGGATTTCTTATCAATTGATGAAAGTTCTAGAGAAATTGATGAATAAAAATCTAATGATAAACAAGCAAATACATGTATTAATCATTTTTATTACAACAATCCCTAAACAGTAATGATACTACTTCCTGGACAATGTCAAATAGTGTAAACTGAAGTTTTCAAAATAAAACAGATGTAACTATTAGATTTATTGTAAAAACATTGCAGTCTGGAGAAGATGTCATTTGAATTTTACATATTCGATATTAAGAGCAGAAAAACGCATTTCTCTGCTATGTGGAAACATGGTGAATACTTAAATCAACGTTATAGCAAAGATAAGTTATCTAACACCATTTTGATTTATTTAACTCAGTGGAAAAGAATTTAGTGGGGTAAAAGGTTGCTAATTTAAGTACAATTTAGTTTTTTAATGTTAAAAACTTTCCCTGCACGACATCTGAACAATAGAAAAAGAAGTGTATCGATATATATACAATTCTTTACTATCAAACATCCATTTGTCAGAAAATTAACTAGGAAGTTATTAAATTAGTTCGCGAACTTTTTGATCACCCCTCGTATACAGGGTGAATTCACCATGCATCGGATACCCTTGTACTTCAACAAGTTCTAGCGATATCGCTACCGACGGAAAATTATCAAAATGGAGTTTAACATTTAGTTTGTGATTGAAATATCAATTTGGGACACAATTATATGCCCTTTATTTAGAAAATATCCTCAAAAATCGAGTTTTTAGGAATAATTCAGAATTCACCATGGATCGGACATTATTTACCATGCATCGGACAGACGGTATTTTGACCGGAAAAATATCATACCTTTATCAAAGTGCTTTAAAATGATTGATATGGATATATTTTTATCTTTTATCTAAGAAATAACCCTCAACTTAAATTTAATTGACGATATCGTTACACAAATGTAGAACGATTCAAGAGACCTCACTCTGCCTTAGAAATGCTTTAAAATGCATATAATGCGGTAATTCGCGCTTGTTTTTTCATGGTTTATCATACTCTGGTTTATAGAAATAAACTGAGTCAAATTTCAGATGTCATATATCGATAACTTGTATTTTGACTGAAAATATAGAGTTTTATTTTCTATTTCCGCAAAAAACAGCTGTCAGTTGGGTTCTGTATGAAAATGGTAGTGCTTACCTTTGCATCGGAAAGTGTCCGATGCATGGTTAATTTGTGTCCGATGTACGGAGAAATGAACATACTAGTGAAAACCAGCTCTGAAAAGAATTATACGAACATTGAAGTGAATTTTCTTTAAAATTTATGTAAAATTACCAATGTTTGACTTTATTTACCAAAGTCTGACGCGTTACGTTGCAGTCGAATTTTAAGAACGATAACTCTAAAAATCGCAAAATCATAAATTTCTGGTTATTCCCCTTTGATGATGTAAAATATGACGTAACTTCAAGGCCATTCTCGGGGTATTTTTATCACAAAATGATAATAACAATCGGTAACATTAAAAAAAATAAAACTTCAGCTTTAAGACAGAAACAAATAAATACACGGAAGTCTTAAGGATATACGATCCTCAGCCAGGAAGGATAACTCTTTAATTTATATTTTAATTCAAAAAGTCTTAAAATAAAGCTTGAAATTGAAATTTTTTCATGCAACAATTTTCATTTTATGCCTCTACGTATGATTCAATGTTCTTTAAAGTTTTAGCAAACGGTATTTAAAAAGTTGACATTTGTACCTCATTAAATGAAGTAAAACTTGCATATTTAAAAAAAAATCAAATTTCTTTTAATTTAGCCTTAGTTACCAATGTTTACATGCATGATTTGAAATTAAAAGTGATTTACGGTGTTTTCTTTGAAAGGATACACTTGAATACACTATGCATTATGAAACAATGGAAGAAAGTAGGAGAAGAAAAGTCCAAATAAGTATAAAATTCATGCAATTTTCTTTAAAAGCCTGGATACCTATAATTTTTATTCCTAAAATGTATTTCTTGATCAATTATCAATTAAAAAATATGCAGTAGGTAGTTCAAATTGCATTTCCTGAAAAAGTATTTGAGATTTACTAATTTTCCCTATATAATATGATTAAATTTAAAGATGAATTTTAAAGAAACACCGTGGGCAAATACATTTTAATTTAAGAATTTAGAGACATCTTTGTGAGCATTTTCAATTACTCAATGCCTGATTTTCAGAACCTGAGGATCGGATAACCTTAAGTTGAAAGAGAATTTATTGTCTAAAGTTGTCCGAAGCAAGGTATGTGTCCGATGCATGGTGAATTCACCCTATATCATGCATCTATTGATGTTTTAACATATTACAACATATGTATGAAGTCAGTCCAAAACGGCAACAACGCCTGTGGACTCCACTGTACCAAATACTACACGTGTATTAAGGAAAAATTTATGCATTTAGAATCTAAGATTGAATCCCTTGAGAGTTCTCTAAACAGATCAAGTAAGTTTATACATCTTTCATTGTCTTTATTGAATTCAATTTGTTATGGGTCTATGGGCAACAACACTTACCTGATCGCTTTGAATAGAGAAAAACATATTTAGCTTTAGCAGCAGAACAGTACACTCTGCTTGAGAAATTTCTGACAGATACCAGGTAAAATTTTACATGTATCTGTCTGAATTTTCTCAAGCAGAGTGCTACAGTTCTGCAACTAACCTAGCTTTAGTTCAGTATTAAAAAAATTATAAGTAGTGATTGTGATGAGAGTAGGGGTGAGCAAATTTGAGACGACTTTAAATGATGCTTCAATATTTCTTTGACTATTCGTAGATGAATTTAGTGTATTACTATACATTTCGATGTAAACGTGGCTACTTCATTCCCATGGGGATAATTTGAAGAAAACAACCTGAATTAAGGTAATCCGATTCTCAGGTTCTGAAAATCAGGCATTGAGTAATTGAAAATGCTCACAAAAATGTCTCTGAATTCTCAAAGAAATGTGTTTTTAAGAATTCTTAAACTTCATATTTAAAGTTAATCATATCATATTGGAAAATTTTGTAAATCTCAAATACGTTTTAGAATTAAAAATCATAGGCATCCAGGCTTTTGAAGAAATTGCATATTTTTATAGATATAAGGTACTTTAGTTTTTTCTATTTACTTCAATCATTTTACAATGTATAGCGTTTAAAGACTTTGCCTGTCATTGCATAACACCACAAATCACTTCTAATTTCATATCATGTTCATAAAGATTAGTATTTATCATAAGATTAAAAAAAATACTCAATTTTTTTTTCAATATGGAATTCTATTACACTTTTATTGGATAAAAATTTCGATTTTGTAAAACCTTTCTGAGAACTTCAAAGAACCTTGAAGCACATTGAGAGGCATAAAATGAAAATTGTTGCATGAAAAGATTAAATTTTCAAGCTTCATTTTTGGTATTTTTGAAATAAATTCTAAATTTAGGAGTTATCCTTCCTGGCTGAGGATCGGAGTACCTTAACAAAACCTGTGGATTCCTTTTAATTAAAGGTGCATAGACACAGATTAGAAGTTAATAATTTTCAATAACCTTTAGATGAAATAAGATTTTTAATATATTTTCGTGTGAAATGCTACTGCAATATTTAAGTTGTGATATTATACAAAAAAATTTGAGAAAATATTAACTTTAAATCTGTGTCTTTGCACCTTAGATATTACTAGTTAACATAAATAACGGTGATACTATTCTTGAAAAGAAATGTTCTCCTGTATGTTCCCTTTTTAGCTCACCTGAATCGAAGGCTCAAGTGAGCTTTTCTGATCAAAATTTGTCCGTTGTCTGTCGTCGTCGTTGGCGTTGTCGTTAACTTTTCACATTTTCGACTTCTTCTCAAGAACCACTGGGCCAATTTCAACCAAACTTGGCACAAAGTATCCTTAGGTGAAGGGGATTCAAGTTTGTTTAAATGAAGGGCCACACCCTCTTCCAAGGGGAATTAGTGAAAAATTAATGGCATTTTAAAAAATCTTCTCCTCAAGAACCACTGGGCCAAGAAAGATGAAACTCATGTGGAAGCATCCTCAGGTAGTGTAGAATCAAGTTGGTTCAAATCATGACCCCGGGGGGTAGGGTGGAGCCACAATAGCCAATCAAAGTGTTACATAGGAGTATATAAGGAAAATCTTTAAAAATCTTCTTCTCAAGAACCGCTGGCCAGGAAAGATGAAACTCATGTGAAAGCACCCTCATATAATGTAAATTCAAGTTTGTTCAAATTTTGACCCCCGGGGGTAGGGTGGGACCACAATGGTTGATCAAAGTTTTACGTGTGAGTATATAGGGAAAATCTTTAAAAATCTTCTTCTCAAGAACCACTGAGGCAGGAATGATGAAACTTATGTGGAAGCATCCTCAGGTAGTGTAGATTCAAGTTTGTTCAAATCATGACCCCTCGGGGGTAGGGTGGGGCCACAATGGCCGATCAAAGTGTTACATAGGAGTATATAGGGAAAATCTTTAAAAATCTTCTTCTCAAGAACCACTGGGCCAGGAAAGATGAAACTCAAGTGGAAGCATCCTCAGATAGTGTAGATTCAATTTTGTTCAAATCATGACCCCCCGGGGGTAGGGTGGGGCCAGAATGGCTGATCAAAGTTTAACATAGGAATTTATAGGGAAAATCTTTAAAAATCTTCTTCTCAAGAACCACTGGGCCAGGAAAGATGAAACTCATGTGGAAGCATCCTCAGGTAGTGTTAGATTCAAGTTTGTTCAAATCATGACCCCCTGGGGGTAGGGCGGGGCCATAATGGCCGATCAATGTTTTACATAGGAATATATAGGAAAAATCCTTCAAAATCTTCTCAAGAACCACTGGGCCAGGAAAGATGAAACTCACGTGGAAGCATTCTCAGATAGTGTAGATTCAAGTTTGTTCAAATCATGACCCCCCGGGGTAGGGTGGGGCCACAATGGCCGATCAATGTTTACATAGGAATATAAAGGGAAATTCTTTAAAAATCTTCTTCTCAAGAACCACTGGGCCAG